ATATCTCTATTCCTAATAGAGTCCATTCCTAATTGAGGTATCTCTATTCCTAATTGAGATATCTCTATCAAGTTACCACTTACGAGGTCAGCAGGTCGCCCTCTCAGTTTTGTGTTAAAAAATCTATTATCTTGAGGGGTTTTGAATCGTGTCCCAGTACTTGTACTGCCGTGGTTGATTACGTCAGGAAACTTTACATGACCCTCTGGCTAAGTGAAACTTTGTGTGTTATGTTACAATGACCTTTCTGTTGACTCAGTGTGCGGAACCAGAAATATTATAGAGATATCTCTATTAAAAACAGAGATATCAGTATACGTGGATTAAATGTTAACTTCGCATGCCACGCATTTTCATGATTTTGATCTGTTTAAACTAATACATGTACATGTATGTATGCTAATCTTAAGACGTCAAGGTTTGTCTGGTGTTTATTTCATATTCTGATTACCTCTGATTTGTCTAGAGCTATGAGTAATGAATGTGTCCATGTACTGGTAGGAGTGAAATGAAAGTACATGCAAAAATTTTCCTGAAGCATTCCAAAACTCAAAACATCCCCAAAATTCCAACCCACACTTGCCGTACGTAATCTCCTAAAATCAGTTACAGTCCAAAGTTGCTGTCAGAGACCAACATAACACTACAGTTCCAAATGGATTGGTATCAAGCTCGCTGGTGGAGGGGTAAGACATTAGCATTAGTAAGCAGAAAGTTGTGGATTCAAGTCCCAACCAACTAAGCTCGTGTGCTGAGTGTACATGTGTTTTTCGCAGTCCCTCAGAAAACAGTGAATATGCATGCAGTGTTTACAAACATAAATACATGTTGGTACAGGGCAAAAACTCAATGCATATATCGTACATACTGGTATGTACATGTACAGTACATGTACAAAACCCCTTTATGCAGCAACCATACATGTACTGGTACATAGCAATAAGTTTCACTACATGTACACATTCCAAACGGCCCTTGAACATCAACCCAAAACACCTGCCATTTACATCTACACTGTTTCATGTGGCTCAGTGGGTTTCCCATAGCTCAGCTGCTATCTGCGCAACGGGACTTCACTGCCAGCAATTTACATTCAATCACATTCAGCCCCCCTGTTTTTTCAAAGCACCCCACATAATTGTTCAAGCTTGGCTCACTGTCAACATGGGAAAGCCCTCAGGGAAAGCATTGCCTCACGGAGTATTGATCTGGTTTTAAAGCATCGCGATGAGAAAACAAAGCTCCCATGGCAGGCTTTTAAATCCAACTCTTTCTGGGTCGCACAGCAGACGTACCATCTACCGTGCACGTTCTTAATGACAGGCATGAGGAGAGATGCACATTGCTAGCATTTTGCAGTTGCATGTACCGTGTTTCAGATGGAAGGCTAACAATGTTTAGCTTGGCACGGATCATTCAGATACCTACTGTTTAGCATTTTCCTTTTCTGCAAAATATTTTTAATATCGATGTCTCCCCCTCCTTGATAACTTTCGACTGTGTGTTTTTCTCCATGGCAGTGTGACATAACAATGCCATGAGGTTTCGGACTATTTTCATATCTACTCAAAAAATATAAACAAAAATTTGCTCAAATGGATTCACTTATGTAGACTTATTTAACTATCCAATAGATTTCTCTTCTGTATCTATTCTCTCTCCTTTGTGCATTTTTTTACAGAATGTGAGATGACTTTCCGAACAACCTACGAGTGACACTGACTATACTGCTTGTGGCACGCAGGGCACCAGTTTGCATTATGCGCCAATAATCTACAACAAGAAGAAGAAATGGATTCAGGCAGTCAGGGTGAAGACACAGTTCACAGACGAAACAATAGAGCAAAAGCAGGGGTACATGTACGTGTGTACCTTGGTCAAGACCTGGTCCACGTGGCTACAGCCCATCTTCTTCAGGATGACAATCCTCAGCTGTTGATTGGTTATGCTGCGGTCGACCTCAATGGCTATCGGATGACCAAACCTGCAAGTTAAGCCAGGTAAACAAGAAAAGTCAGGGCTCAATCCTAAGGGCTCTGTGCATGAACAACAGAGGGCACTTTGTTCCCTAGCAACAGCATCCCTTGAAGCCAACACAATGCATGAACACACTTGTTTGGGTGTGTATTTGCATATACAGTGTACATGTGGCAACTTTAATCTAAAAAAAAAAATCTTCCCCTCAGTTAAAATTGCTGTCCATAATTTAAACCCTTTGAAACTGTTATGCATGCACACGTACATGTACATGTATAAATCAACACACAAGAAACACCGCTACTGGAATGGGCACATTTTTGTTTTAATCACAACTTTTTCTGAGTCGCATCTAAAACAATCTTCAAAATTGACACATTTTCCATCCACTCTGAACAAAAACAAAGGAAACACTCAAGTTCCAGCCTTCACAGAACATATTATTCAATGGTAGAACAACCCGGGCTTACTGCATGGAGCTGTTCAGCTTGTATTTGTGCATGTACAAACATGTACATTTAGGACATGCTGCACATGTTTAGCAGCCCTACATGTCCTGGCATGAAAGTCAGCCATGGTCAAAGAATGTTCACATACATGTACCGGCACATGTAATGGCAAGAACATATTTAACAATTTGGGAGATAATCCTTGTGAGATGGCTCAAATACATGTTCATGTACCTTTAACTTGATTACATGCTTTGTGTCATCAACCATTTTGCCCTATTGGTCACCTGCAATGTAATCGAAGCTTACTTAATTTGGAAGTTTTAATGGTGCTGCAGGAATCAATTCCACATAGCTGCAACTCTATCAGTGTCTACAGATGTGAAAAAGGCTCAAATTTCAAAGAAAATAATGTTTTACAACGTTGCATCCATATTTTATTTCACCAACTCAGAGGCATATAATGCAGGTACATGTACATGCACATGGTCCCCTGTATAGACTTGGGTGATAACCAACTCCAGTACATAGAGCAGTATTGCTGTTTAACACAGAAGTCCTGTCTTGCAAGTAAGGCCAGTTCATAATTAAAGCAAAGGCAGAAATGAAGTTAATTTTATATTCTGAAAAATTGGCAGTAAAATTAGCTGAGGTTAAAAATGTGCTCAACTGTTGCAAATTCCCAGCAAGCATAGCAAGTGTAAAGTATTTCATCTGATGTCGCGATTTCACATTTGTTTTCTCTTTCACGCCAACTACATGTACATGAAATTATGCAATCCAGCTTTTACAGTCTTAACTATAGGTGTGTGTACATGTATTTGTGAGTACATCTAAGATTATAAGCCGTCAGAAAAGTTTTTAACTTGGGCAGCATCACAACCTGCAATCACCCAAAACCTGGGTGCAAAATGAAGGAACTTTCACAAGATACACTGTACCGGTACATGAGTGTTAACAAAAATTCAACATGGACAAAAATGACCCACAGAATGACAAATTCTTACAAGTTATCAAGACGCTTCAAACCAAAGCTGACCTGAAACCAATCTGAATTTCCTAAGTCCCAAATTAAGGTAAAACCAACCTACCATAAACCAACCAAAAGAAAACCCTGAACTGATTATTCAGACAAAAGTCCTACAATTTCTCCACTTTTTCAACCTGAACTTACCCATGTTACATGAATTCTATCCAAAAAACATGTGAGAATTCAACACTATATGTACCTCCTTCACAGTCCCAGTTGGACGTCAGGAAAAACGTGAGCATCTTGGGTCATACCAGGCACTGTGACTCTTCAGTAATGATGCACTGTGCAAACTCTTCTAGATTTAGTTTGGGATATGTGTTAAGTTTTTCAAAGATGGGGGGTTGCACAATATTACACCCCATCCTCTTTCCCTGGGTAGCCCGCTTCTTTATCAGGATGCCTTGATGGCATGAGAAGCCAGATTCATTTCAAATCTTACCTTCTTCCAGTCTTGCTGAGACCCTGCTGGTTTAGGATCACCATGGTGATGACCTCTCCAACAGGTCGGTTGCAATGTACGTACAGGTACCCCTGCACCTGCGTATTGGTGGCCAGGGCCTGTGCAATGTGCGGTGTCTCAATGGCGTACACGCTATCACTTTCCCTCAGTTCGCTCAATGGGAGGTTGTCATGGTAGGAACGATAGAAACCATCAAAGTAAACTTCCGTCAGAACAATCTGCACGCAAAACAACAAATAATCAAAACCAATACCTGTAAAATACAAAATTAATCCACTGATTACATATATGTTGCTTGTGGACAATTAAAGTAATTCAAGGCAAAGTTTGCAATTTGTAGGTTTAGGACTTTCAATGTTTCAACCATTTATACCCAAATACACCCACAGTGTTTGGTACTTTCACCATCTGGTATTTTTCCTCTCATGTACCGTTCTGTTCACCAGTAAACTATACACTATTGGCATGGTCGACTGAAGTGAAACAGTCCATCAAATTTAAATCTTGGGACATAAGTGAACTCTAACATATGAAGTTATGATCCAAACAGAGTTCCAAAATTAGTCAACAAAGCAACTGCTTGTTGCCAGTACAACCTGTACTGAATTCTTAGATTTCATTCTACATGTATATGTACATGTAGACTGATGTACATGTTCATGTATCAGTACCCATGTCAGGCATTATCTGATTTCTTCTCTCCATTTGCTGTCAATGAAAATGTACATGTGTACATATACATGTACTATCTTTTTAGCCACACACAAAATCAAGACATGTATCACACCATGTAGATTGTACATGTAGCATGATTACTCTGGTGAAATGGGTTATGGTACATGAATATGTTTCCTTTAAATGCAATGGACTCAAACTGCCCGTTGTTTACAACATACTTCCAAAGTCAATGGGCACGGTAGTGGCCATCCACTAAACAAAAACAACCCGTAGATACTGGGTCTTAGCATGTCATAACTCACTCCTTTGTCTCATTTATTCCTCGGTGAAATCTGAAAGGGGATTGGAACAATAATGCTGTGAGGAATCTTTATTGGAACTGAAGGCAAATGGGTATTAGGCCGGAGGGAGATGGCCCATGGATATAAAAGTTGACTGAGTGATACAGCCTCCCTCAGTTTGGCCAGAGACGCGTGAGAGCAAGAACTCACGGTGAGAAACAATTTCATTCAATTTAACAAGTATTTATCAGCTTCCTAAACCCTGAGCATTTCAGATCGAAGAATCAGATAATAATGATCTCAGATGTGTGGTTCTTTGAGAGTTGAGCTTTGGGATTAGTTCAGAAAACAGCTGTAGCAGTAACTGTGCGCCGGTGAGCTGGCGATATGAACTACAAATACCCGGTACGTGTAGCAATCGTCAATGTACATGTACAGTGCAGTTCGAGCGCGTATGAAGGCTCACAATGTGTGTGCATGCTTCAGTATGCAGTGTACAATGTAAATTTACATGGACGTACAACACTAGGTGTTACATGTAGTGATGTCCACGTACTGTAGATGGTCGGCGTGTGCGGCCCTATATTGTTGCATTGTTGTCCACCCATGACACATTGTGCTGCATGCGCCTGTGCTGTTACACTTTATCTAACCAGCTTAAAAAGGGAACCAATTATGATTTATGTAATGGGCTGCTTTTAGGACATTTTGCACTGCTGGGCCTAATGGTACTTGTAGCTCAAGTACATGTAGGATGCAGCCAGTGTGCCACTTTCCTCATCAAGTGTTGGGTAACCATCATGTGCTTATAATAAAATGATCAAGGTCCTTGGACATTAATCCCAACAAGTTTCTTTAGTTATTCTTTTATCATTTTACAATGGTGTGTATAATTCAAACTTACTGGTACATGAACATATACATACATGTAAATTCTTAGAATATGAATGTTGACCCTAATGTCACCAATAACATCTATTGTCACTCCAGGGGTCGTTTCAGTAGTCAACACAAAATAAAATAGTGAAACAACAGTTGAGTGGGTGTCACTCTATTTCTGTGTATGGTTGTCAACCTTGCTGCTCCCTTACCTTGGGCTAAACATCCCTTCTCATTCAGCTCAGGCAGTCAACACACCCAGTTATCCCCCATCATGGGTTCACTACATAACCAACATGACCAATGTGAGAAACAGGAGAGCATGATTCACAAAGAACTACTGTATCGTAATACAGGACTGCAACCATTACATCGGTATCCTTGCATACCATGCTCACTGATACAAAGTCATACATGTACCCTGATTACATGTACATGTACACTGTATGTATGAATATTCAAGGAAAGCTTAAATTTCTACCTAGAAGCACTCAAGATGTTCATCTCTGAAACTCTGAGAGGACATGATCTCACCACATTATCAGACATGGGTAATGCCAGACATTAGGGGTCCATTTTTCCATGTCCCTGTCACATTTGACATATGATTTTGTAAGTTCAGAATGTATTTTCTGATTTCCAAGAGTGATGAATTAATGCGAATTACCAGCCAAACAAATAGTAATAGTTTGAAATCAATTCTGGTGATATTTCCATGTCAAATTACAAAGGTCAGGTGTAACAGGGACACAAAAATGTCACACTTTTGGACCCTTAATTTCTGCAATTACCCACATCAATTTGCATCCAGTTGATGACCTCATAAACAAAACTTGGGACATGTTTACGCTGTGAATTCCTCAGCCACCAGAGTGGCATTTTTATATTCCATACACAATGTAATATACATGTACATGTAGCTGGTTATGTGGGAATTACACAGTGGAACACAGCAGTAAATAAACTTATCAACATGACAACCCTAATGCTGATTTTAACGTGAGGGAAATAAAGCTACATCGACGCATACATCTATCTTGAATACTTTGTTTTCATTGGCTCAAATCGATCATATGACCGAGTAATAAAAACACGACCTCTTCACTGCATATCACGCATCAACAATATCACATACACTGTACATGTACCGGTACTAGTCCCCATCCACTGTCCAAAACATAATGCAGGAATCACTGACCAGCATGAACATGTACAGTACTGTTGTGACATTACACAGCCTACTGATTAGTAATTAGTTCATGATTACTGGCAATCTATAAAAGATTACCCGATAAGGCAGATTGCAACAGTGAGCACACACCATGGAAGCCTCCCAGCTCCTGTGCACTAACAATGCATATCATGTACTGGAACATGTACACCAGCTGTACGTACATGCACATGCTGTATTTGTGATTTTTTTACGGATTTTCTTGTAAATGTTATGTTTCAATGTTTGATCTTTGTTCTTAGTAAAAACAAGCTACCGTAGCAAGCATTATACATCCATGTAGGTGTTGTAAATTAACTACTGACAGTTGTTGTTGCATTTGTCATTCTGGCTTTGGAAGAGTCAGACCTGTGACCGGAATAAATCAATTACGTTATGTAAATCCCTGTGACAGGGGTCGAAATTAAAGGTGGCCCGTGGTACACTGAAAATTCATTGGGCTACGGCATTGAAGTCCCAAAATGATGGCATGTGTTTTTCTAACTTACATGACTTACCAAAATAAATTTTACAGTCGTGCCAAAAATTTAGGATCAGTGCATTTAAAAAGGTGCATTTAAATCCAGCCAGGCTGACCAATCAGCCGTTTTGGTAGGGAAATTCGACTGACGCAAATTGGCAAGTGTGGTAGGCCTGATCAATTCCATTATATGTACTCCACCCGGGCCACCCAATTTTCACAGGGCCAGTGCGATGCACTTCCCAACTGGCCCTGCACGCCACCAAGAAATTGAAGTTAATTTTGACCCCTGCTATTACCATCCCTTTAATTTGTGTTAAGTTGCGTCCACTGGGCAATCCCACCACAACATCATCAGCTGTTAGAGCACTGCAATGTTTTGTCAATAGTTGAAGTTCATTTCTTTGTATAAATCCCTTTTTAATGTAAAATGTAACGTGCCCAGTAATTCAAATCCTATTTAGTTTCTTCAAATCACACTGATGAGTAACTGTTTCTTTTTTCTTGGCCCAATGTTTTGTACAAGTACATGTACATACACATATTTATGTACCAGTACACGTACACGTATGTATTCAATTTTGCAAGGGAGAAAGCTACACAACACAGCATCCATTCACTGCAGGAACTTCAATATGAAGCAGTGTTCATTATACATGTACAGGATTAAATGGAAGCCTGGCTCGCGTGCAGTAAGGTTGTTACGGTGACAGTGATGGAATGAGCCTAGGCAGGTTTGAACACGCACGCCACTCAACTTGTTCGGTGAGACGTGTCTGTTGCTCAAAAGGTAAACTTGTGCATACAGGCAAAGCCAAAGGCTTTCATTCAAAAGTACACTGACACTGGGAGAAAACTTATGATACATGTACATGTACATACGGTGTACATTAGGATACATCCAGATTTCAGTCCAAAATTATCAAGGATGCCATATGTACTAGTACATGCAAGAAAAATGGACAAAACTTACAAGTATCAAAAAATGCTAGGAGAGAATAATCCCTTCCCCACGGGGCTCCTTTCCCCCTCCCACCCTTCCCCACTAGATGGGTACAGTATGTGCTCTGAGTATCACTGAAATGAGAACGGAACTTTCCAATTTTACCAGCTGTATGTGTACATGTACACATGTACTCATACGTACATGTGTGCCTGCACCTTGATCTAAAGTCTAGTACCAGTGCATGTGCGGGTACCCTGAAGGTGTACTGCACATTACTCTGGGGATACACGCCCATGGCGAGTCTGCCCTATGAGTGAATTGAAGCAGGTGGTTCTAATGAGGAGCTGCTGTCCCAGTGAAAAGAGCTAAACCTCAATGAAGACCTGACGACAGTTGGAGCAGCGCCAGTGTTATGGTGACGATCAATGATCTATGAACCATTACTTGCCACTCACTAGACACGCTAAATTTCTTTCATTAGATCTGGTGAAGGGTGGTGTCGGGTGTTACTGTCTGTTTTTATTCTTTGATTGACACCCTTGATGCATGCTCTTGACATTGAAGGGGTGTGGTAAGGGATTGCTCATTTAATGTACTGCTATCCATTAGGTGTGGGCAGAACTACTCCAGATTAAATAAAATCAATTTCACTGCACTCAGAATTGGAATCACGACTCCACTTTTTGAGACGTCGAGTCTCTGTAATGGCTGATTCTAAGCACCCAATGGGTTTCCAGTAGGCAGCTTCATGAAGGTGCTGAGCAACTCCGTACAAAAATTGATTCTAAACTTGGAACTGGATTCGGATTCTGAATCCCAATTCCACTTGCTTTGAGGAATCGATTTCCCTCAGAGATCGATTCCTTCTACCTGAGTCTTCATTCCAGATACCGGTAGTACACAAAAGCTAACATGAACATGTTCTCCCATTTCCTCAAATCATATGCTACTGATAAAATTCACGTCAAAACCATTTTATGGGAAGTGATCAATCATGTTACAAAGAGACAGATTCTGATGAGTGAGTAACCATGAGCTTCCCATATTACTGTACAGGTACATTTTTAGTGTATTTTTGGCCAGAGAAAATTGGAAACGTTTCCCAGTGGAATCACAATTCCAATATGGAATCGGAATAGATTCCAAAATGCCAAAATCACCCAGCACTACTCCATGACAACCATAAAAATACTTGAAGGCATGTTACGGGTATACCAAACAATGTACATGTACGGCGCATGTACCGGTACATGTACATAAACTTCAATGCATCACGTAAGAGTCATGCAAAGTACACGTGCATATGCTGCATGAACACAGGGATAATTTTACTCATTATCCCACTTTTTATCAGTTGCGTGTGTTATACATTGTACGAATACATGTACATGTATGTTGGATTGAGGAGTGTTAAGGTTAATCAGCAGGGTGGATCCAGATGTTTCATTCATTAACCCTAACCCTCCTCAATCCTTCACCTGTTGGAGGACTGAGGAGTGTTAGGGTTAATGGAATCATTAATGTTCAGTCATTCATGACTGCAGGAATAAAAATTTTGCATATTAAACAGGAGCTGAATATTCATTGTTTTTAACCCAATATCTTCAGACTACATGTACCGGTACCTATGGTTTTTACACCCAGCCATAGTACCGGAACATAAGGTATATCAGAGCTTGACATATTTCCCCAAAACATGGTTGCCCCTGGGCAACTGCTTTCATGAAAAGTGGTTGCCCAGTGTTTCAGCTTTGGTAGCCCAGAATAAACCTTGCTAATGAGCGTCGATTTGCAGTAAACATTGAAAGAGTGTCCAACAGAGATGGGTGGGCAAATGCAAAAAAAACCAATCCGAGAAAAAAAAAAGTCTGCAAAAAACCCCACAACACATAAAAGTCATTATGGTCATAATTCATTGAACACTCAGTTGTTGCACGTGTTCCCTACACACAAATCACTGACGGGCATTGAAGTATAGGGAACATAGTGAAAATGTAGTATCCACTGAATACGTAGACCGCCAGCATCACACTTTTTTTCCTGTGCGCCGTGCTACCAGTATGTAGAAATCAAACCGCTGGTTCCCAGACCTGAGGAATCGTTGGTGAATCTGCAGGCTAGATCAGTGAACCGGACTATGTACATGTACACAGTATGCCTACAGTTTGTACACAGCACGCACATTGGCCATATTGCAAACTCAGGGAAAACCTCCCTGAAATTCGTGAGTCGGATTGAGGAATTCATTTTTTTATTTCCCTTGAAATTGTATTAATTGAGATACAGTACAAAATAACAATGAGTGGAGAAAAATTAGTACTGTGCTCATGCCAGATCTTTTTGGTTGTCCACGGACAACCATTTGTGGAAATTCTTGTTGTACAGAAATATTTTTTGGGCGCCCGGGCAACCAATTTAGCAAGGACTGTAAATGCATGCTTTTTCCCAATTTCATCTAAAACTGTGCTGAATATCTGAATATTCAATAGATTATTGAATATTCAAATATTACCAGTATTTTTCAAAGTTGAAAATTTGAATGCAAAATTCATGAAAAGGAAGGGACAGGCTTTTTTTGGTTTTAAACGAAAAAATTTCACAATGGACCCTAGTTCCAAGCAGATTCAAATGAAAAGCGACAGAAACCTGAGAATGCTTCAAAAAGTACATATACATTATTCCTTGAAAAATTTAAAAGGAATATTTTTAACAGACAAGAAGAGTTATTCGTCTCTTAATTCTTGCTGAATCTTGGCTGGAGATACTCTTACAGGTGAGAAGCTATTAAAGTGATTATAATGTACAATTGTAGGCCTCAAATTTCCTAACGGCCATGGTGGTCATGGCTGCCGGTACCCTCCAATTTGGCCAAGGTGCCTCCGAAAAGTGATCGTGTTTCACGCCAAGATGGCAGTGCCTCTTTTTTTCTTGGCCGTAATGCCCTACACGTGCATATTGACTGCCCCCGTTCAGCGAGGTACACGGAAAGCGGCATGGAAAGCAACATTCGTATTCCATGATCACTCACATTCGACTGGAACGACGTACCAAAATGCATGGCACGCATACATTTAAGCAAGTGTATGTGGGGATATCGTACACTCAGCCCGCCGCGCACCGGCGGCCCGGCACGGCCTACGCCATGCACACAACATGATCGCAAGCATGGCACAGTCAGTGTTGCCAGGCCTATTCAACAACTTGACACAACAGCACATGCTCAAGCCAAGCATTCTAACATACATGTACCACGCAGAAAGGTTGGTTTAAAACTAAGTGCTCATCAACGTGTACGCATTAACAGTATATCGAGAGCTCCACGTTTTTCATGCACACATGACAACTGTATGGTCGTGGCAGTATCTTAACTAACACCGCCATGTAATGTTTGCAGTTGAGTGCAACATGCCACGCAATCCGAACTGTACATACATGTACATGTACACAACATTGATCGGGACAACCCTGATTCTCACGTACGTTGTTGGGTGCAAAATCAATCAGCCTGGCCGGTTTTTGTGGCAGGCAAAATGCCGAGGAAAGAACGGCTGCAGTCAAAACGGGCCGAAGCCTTCCAAGACTCAGCTGCTGGTTTGGCACTAATCACAGACATGTTCAGGTATAATGTATACATCCAACTTTTTCTTAGGCCTGAATGAATAGTGAATTTTCATGCAAAAATATCGGGATGGCATTAATGCCCAGAACTTTGGTACGCTGATGGCATTTAATGCCCTCAACTTTGGCATTAGTGCCCTTGATTTCAGCTAGTCCAACAATGCCAAATGGCAGTGTCCTAAAAAAAATGAAATTCGAGGCCTGCAATTGTGTGCGTTATTGCAACTGACTTTGTATACGGTTTGTTCATCAACAATCTCTCGGTTGGTACTACCAAAAATTCAGATATTCGATCGAATTGAAGGTCGAATATTCGAATAGTGAATTATTCGAATTGACTCAGCCCTAATTTCATCCGCTAAAGTAATATTTCATTTAGATGACATATATGAAAACTACACTGTACATGTATACAGCTACCAACAAGCAAGGGAAATGCCCACATCAGAGATCAAACTTTACAAGGTGGTATCAACAATGTGCAACACAAGTCCATGTACACTGTGCTTACCCTAGTAACTGCCATGCTGCACTGACGGGCAACCTCTGACCTTAGATCAGCCACAGTGGCGCCAATGTCCATCACCACGCCCACCCTCACTACCCTGGGCTCCCGGTCCATGTACACCACGGCTACGGCCATAACTCGTGTTGTGCGTTGGGGTATGGGCAGGGACACGCACAAGAAGGGGTCAAAGGTGTTGCTCTGCCGGCCGCAGTGCGGGCAGGTCAGTGACGACCGCAGCTGTGCCTGGAATAGGTCGTGGATGAAGCTGTTGTTACGACGCATGTGATTGGCCAACATCTCGGCAGCCAGGATCTCGTCATTCTTGTTGTGACGATTCTGTAGAATTAAACACAAATGGCAATAAGTTACAATCTTATCCAGTACTGTACCTTCTTGTTGGCTATATTAGGACAAGTTCAAACTTCAGGTGAATGTGACAGAGAAGCTAATTTGATGTCGCAAAACAATTTCAGCAAATTTGCTTGAGTTGAAAAGTGTTTCATTTTTGCGAATTGGCAATGCATGTAATTGATTTAATGCCATGAAGTCATATCTGCATTTACGTTCTTGCCAAATTGAAGTTGAACCGCCCATTAGAACACAGCAACCTTTGTAACCCATTTTGACTTGAAGCATCCCCTCACAGGTAAAGAGGAGATACATGTAGGTTGGTAGGAATCTTTTCATCTGGGCACCAAACACACATACATGTACATCATGTGTGTGGCTCTATTCCAACACACATGGACTTTCAGTACTGCTAGTAAAATGTACATTGTACATGTACATACATGCATTAACTTGTGCACCTGCCCAAAGACAGTTGTGCTACATGTATGTACATGTACATATGTACCGGTACCTTTTCTTGTTCATGTACATGTACTGTAGTAGAACAGATCTGTATCACAGACCTACAGTAAGTAGTAGTCAACTGTATTTTATTTGCATTGCCTCGACAGACAAATTATACACAGCTTCATGCTTGAAAATGAAGCCAACTTTAGCATATTTACAATGTACATGTACACGTTACTGCTTGTAGAACTTGGACTAGAGATCCCATGGTTGATAATGGCACATACATGTACATGTAAAAATGAACCTGTACACAGCATTTTAAAGGTAGCTGCAATAAATCTGTTTGAAAAAAGACCTTTGAAATGCGCCTTTGTGTCTCAGTTAACCTTATTTTCAACTTTTGTTTCACTACTTCAAAGGATATTCTCCTGGTTTTGCGGTTTATGCTAATGAGTATTTCTATATTCATGGCCAGAACTGTGATGTCATATCAGCAACAAACCACATTGGTTTGTACACAAAAAGTCCTACATGTACACGTACACTTTTTTGGATTTTCTGGGATTCAGTTGTCTCTTCTTTGCTGATTCATTGTTGCTTATCCGCATTCTGCCGGGGGCACTTATGAATGTTGATTCAGCTGGAACGAGATCTTTTTCATTTTTTTAAGTTTTAAAAATTCTTTAAAAATTCATATCTTCATTTACTGGGCACTTACACCCACGCGAAGGACTGTCTGGTTCTATTCTAATCTGACAGACAACATCTATTGACGCAAGAGTATTTCAGCCACACCTGCCACCTTGTAAAAAGAGCCCAGACTGTGTGGTGTTATGTAATTTTTTTTGGTTCACGAACGGGCACAGTGCGCTGCTGACCTCTATACAATAGGGGCCAGATTAGCGAGTGGTAATTTGCTCATGCTGAATGCCCCAAACAGTGGTATACTGTTTCAAAATAATGCTGGATTTTCTCCACTACATGTATGTACAGTGAAAAATTGTTGGTAATTCCCAACAGCCTGGTCTGTTCTTAGGAGTACAGTCTTTTGTTTCAAGGCCCCAGTTCGGGGGGAGGGGGGAGTTGGGGTGCACATATTTTTTCAAGGGGGTACTACCCAAAAAAATGCTGCAACTGTATAGAGCTCTACAAACTCAACAGACCTTATGAACAGATTCCAAATGGGAGGGGGCACCAGCATCGTAAGATTGACCAAATGCTACACACTTTATCACACATTGTGCAATGCAAAATGCACAGGGCTATGCTGTAATACTTGAAATAACAATTCGATTGACACATATTGTACAACAGGGCACATTATCCTTTAAAATACGCATGATACATGTACATGTGGAAATCGAGTCAGTGAGGAGCTGACTTCATTGGTTCCCACATAACTTGTGTTCACATGAAATAGCCAAAGTAGGGAACCAATAACGCACATGCATTTCGTGCGAGCAGCGCACACGGCGTGCATGGCCAGCTCCAGGCACGGTACGCATCCAATATGTACAGTACATGTACAGTATTGACTAACAACATGTGGTCATGGTTTCACATCTCACAGTTGGACATTGCACTAAGTTTTAACTTCTGAACATGCCAAATAGAAGTTAAAAGTAGTGCAAATGTAAATTTGATCGATGAAAGAGTGAGAAACAAGTTCAACTCACACTGGCCAGAATAAACAAAAGTGATGGATGTTTCATTTTTGACTAACGTTATGCTTTTGGTTATAGGGAAGTCTGATGTAAAGCACAGTGCATCGTACATTTTTAGAGTCCCCTAACAATGCACGCTTCAACTTCATCTGACTTGTTGCAAAATCTCTTATTGCAAAAACTTCATTTTGTTAGATATCTGTACTATAGCCTTCATAATACATACTGCTGAATGGTTCAGTGTCATGAAATTTTGACCGAACTTCAAAAACGGCGGCATCCCGAAATTGGGCAAGAATTCAGCTGAGTGTTCCAAGACCATGCCAATGTGGCGCACTTGAAAAAAATTACCCCAAACCCAAATAAACATTAAAGAAATTCTTTGAGGTTGATAAATTTTGCTAACTTATTACCTCTACTTACCTAGCCACAAGTTTGTTTGAAGATTACTATCATTTTGGGTGCATTTTTAAAGAATTCATTTGGACTTCAGAAAAAAATTGAAAATTCAAGCCAAAATAAAAATTTCATCGGAACTTTGTAGCAGGTTGAGATTTTTGGATCAGAATGTTGCGAGTTTCCGGTTTCACTTATAATGAAATTTGAGGTAAAAATATTGCTCCTACAAGGCACTAGAGACAAAAATCAGAGCGCGCCTTATTAGGATACATCAACATACATGTACATGTATCCTTTCGCAAGTAAGCCATCGCCAGCCACACAAGAAAGCCAATACAAGTGTTAACACTTGTGCAAACAAAATAAAGGCCAGATTCTCTCAACAGTACAATTTAATTCATCTGTGTGCAGGTATTTTATACCTATTTTCAGGTACTTTATGCCTACTTTACCCACTTTAAACAATTTTCGGCTCATGACTGAGAACCCACTTGATTTGAAAGACCATTGTTGAAGACTTTCTTTTATTGTTTTCTTTTATATGGATATTCAATGATGTCATGCAGTTATATTGTGAAAAAAGAACTACACAAAAGTATGTACATGTAATTGCCTTGCAAACATTTTGAAGAATAGAATACTGCATGCCCCCCTATCCCATCCCCTCCCCTCCCCCAAAATAACCATATTAAACTGGCTGCATGTGTACACGTTGCATGTGATCGGATGATATGCGTAATTGCCTCATCTTTTCAAGGTACACGTAAGTTGATCTTATTGCATGATTTTTCAATATTTCCACCATCAGCCAATTGCCTTTTCTTTCTAATACTTAACGAAAGATTGTTTCAAAAAAGGGAGTGTGAGTGAGTATGTGACAATGCATCTACCGGTAGTGACAGGGTGATAACGCAGATCTGCCGATCATTGCCCAACATGTCTATAAACTGTGCACATACTGGTACATGCATGCACCTACATGTACAAGTATTCACGCCCTCCATGGTGACATTATCAATTTTCCCTAAGGTCAGTTTTCAGTAATTTTGCATTAGTTTGAAACACGAAAAGCAAACTGGAATGTTTTGATGTACCAAGTACGGTACGGTACATTGGAAAATGAATGTTGAAATGTACTTCAGTTCATGTACATTCTAATGTTATTATCAGATGTACCAATAGTCAACAGTGGAAATAAAAAATGAAGGACTAAATGAATTTCCCACTAAGTTTGGCATCCTGATGAAAATGGATATTTGATATTTGGGTGTGAAAAATGTTGTTGAGGGTTCCTGCAGACTGAGATGTACGGAGTACATTGCATGTACAGGTACATGTACTAGTAATGCACAAATCTCAAAAAACAAAAAAAAACCAGGCGGGATAGACCACATCCTCTACAGTTGTAATTCAAGGCGCTTCAATCATTTGGAGCCAAGCAGTACAGGGATGAGAACTCCATGAGGTGTGCTGGATTAAAAAGAGTTGATAAAGTGAATGGGATCAAACTTTAACTATGTGTACAGTATACAATTTAGGACATACATGTATCAGAATGAATACATGTACATGTATTCTTGTTTACAACTGTATAAGGTGTACAATACCAGTACCATACATGTACAAGTATACAATACACGTACATTTTTTAGGATGATGAAATATTTATTTCAATGCTGTCATTTACAATGTAACCAAATACCTTCACATTACGTTAAGTACTGAACATAGCGGTATCTGGCCATTAAATTTAGTAACATTAGGGCCTCATAAAAGAGGATTATACACTCATTCCCCCTTTTGAAAATATTTTCATAAGAGCATCTTCGAGGATGAACTGTTTTAACATTCAAGCCTTGATGGGATGTTTACTAGACTGTTGTTATAAATTGTCCATTTATTTATTCATGGGTTAATTAAGGGCGTGTTTTTTCAGGGGTGTCAAGGAAAAGCTGTAATGGAATCAAGCTGACCCTGGAGAAGGTACAACTTCATGCCAGATAATTCCTTGGAATCAGAGTACAAAACATTAATCTAAAACTTTTGATGAAAACTTTCTTTATGGTAGCCAATTCCAGTTTCCCAGGGCTTTGCTTCCAGACACTTCAATGCAAACTTGCTGTGGTAAATGTACCGTGCGGGTACCCAAATGTATCAGTGTTTTAGACAGGGATTAATTATCTTTAAATGACCTTGCATAACTACCAGCATAAAGTTACAGTTCAGTAATACTACAAGGATTTATGGCAAGTGTTTTTTTTTTATCAGGTGACTTTCGAGTCACCGTAATCCACCATAAATTTCCAGATTGATATTAAATGGTATCCTTTGAAATAGCCAAAAATATTGGAGAGTTGGTAAACCAATAAACCAATGGCCCTGGGTTGGACTAATCACGGCACATGTGGGGCAGGTGTCGTATTGGCAGCATTGATTGAGCTTCCCAGCAGCAAAAATATAAAGCAGAGACCTTGACAGTAAGCATTAACCAAGCAGAGGTGTCAGGATGTGGGATTGTTATGCAACTGGAAACATGCATGAGAGCCTACACTTCTTAAGTGATGTGCTACAGAAATAAAACACATCATCGCATGACAGGTTTTGAAAGGGAGTGATTTTGCCACTGTACCACTTCAACATAACCTTTCAACATGTTCAACATATACACCATGTACTGTACCAGGACACCAGTGTACCGCTACATGTGCAGTGTGATGAATTTGGCTGAAAAAGTGGTCAGACAAGATGCGCAAGATCAATTTGTTCTGCCATTATCACGTTTTGACTTGACATACGGTACATGCACTAAGGTCATTATGTGCTCGCACACATACCGGAGGTATTGCGAATGTCATGCCCCCAAAAAAACCCAGGAGTTGCTATTGGGAGTTTAAAATACCGGTAAATTTCGTCTGGACATTTTGTTACATGTATGTATACATACATGTATGTTTACATGAACACATACATGTTCATGCACACTGTACATGCATCATGTGAAAGCAAGAGCTCTATATTTTTGGGGGAGGTGTTCTTATCATTTTTTTGGGGGGGGAGGGTTCAGAAAGTACAGATTTAGGGAGGAATCTAATGCCTGGAGACCCCTGACCCTCATTTTTTAGGAGAGGTGGCACATGAAAGAAATTTTGCTTGGACCTTTCTAAATCTACACGCCAAATGCTGCTGAAAATACAGTTTGGCAAATTGCTGGTGTAATGTGCGCTCCTGAATCTATCACACCACAGTGCGCATTGGTGCACAATCTGAAACCATCCAATTTCAATATGATTTTACATGAACCCTGGAGGTAAGGGTTAATTACTAAAAAGATGTGTAGTTGCAGGCGTGAAATCCATACAGTACCACTGTACATACAGGTACATGTATGGTGCATGTGGTCTACACAGGAACAAACATCAAGGTTAAATACTAATTACATTATGACTCATCACATCCTTGTTTACCAAACCAGAGTTCTGCAATGTACACACGCATGGAACAATGATACACCATGTGCACACAGGCTACTGTCTTTTATGTCTTCAGTACCCAAAGGTATGAATAAGTTTTGTTACAATCATCGTTTCCTGGTCTTCACTGGGTATCAGTTCATATGTACCATATATGTACCTGTCGCCTGTTTCATTTGCATTATGAACAGCACAGAATGCACACCGTATTTTTTGCATTTACAATGTGTAAATTTTAATTGACACACTGCACGCTTGTCAGCTTGATTGTCAGTGATTTTAAAGCATGTGCAGTGTGCGCGAAATAAACATGTTGGTAACTGACATGGTTGACCTTTACAAGTGTTTTCTGGCCAAATGCTAATTAATACGGTGACAGACCAGTTGCACAATCCTTTCCTATAACTTCTACAAAGTCAGGCACACCAGTGTTTGTCTGGACAAACTTCAAGACCAATGCAACACCTTAGTTAGAAAGTACATACATGTACATTCGTTGATAAATCCAAGAAGCTGTCACTTGTTTTTTGCATACATGTACATGTACATGTATCTTGTGTTGTTTTTCTGCCAGATTCCTCTAAAAATGGGTTCTCCTAAATTTAACAAACCTTGTGAAGAAACTTGTTTAAATGTGGACTAGTAAAATTATGACATACTCAAAATGCAAACATGAAGTTCATTCACCATCTCCGGTGGTGCCAAAGTACACCTACAGTGTATATGTACTGTAAACACACGAACATGTACATGTATGTGTTCATGTACCATACACTAAATGTACAAGAGGTACAGTGTACATTGTACAGTTGTCACATGTACATGTAGGTTGCCCTTGAATATAATGTGTGTACAGTATGTGTACTGTAGACCAGTTTAGCAAAGAATTTCAATGCTTTTCCTTCAGGGATTGCACTGTACACAGCCATACACTAATATAAACAGTTCAGGGACATACATGAAGGCCACATTCACAAATCTGTGTTGGAAGTTTCAATTTGGGACAATGTCAACGTGGCAGGCATACACTGTTCAGAGTGTGTGCCAGCTACATGTACTGTATGCCTCATGAAAATTTACACATTCAAATGTCAATTCTTTATAAACGTGTGTCTTTTTAAACTGGACATGCTCACCTGTGCAGCTGTGAGTCATGACACATTTATCAAATGCCTTCACCGAATACGATTGAATTTCAAGCATGAATATTAAATTAGTGAAAAGTCGGGGGGGGTTAGGGAAGAATTTGAAGAAAAGATGAAAGAATGTTGATAAAAAAGCAATTCTTCACCTTTATTAAAGTGATAACAATATACACAACCAATGATTACAACACAAAAAATCAAATTAGAAAATCAAATAACGAATGACATGTACACTGTAGGCCTACCGTACATGTACAGTGAGTGTATGATAAACTTCTCAAGTCTGATTGTACAAAAGCTGGCAAGTACGAGGCATTGACAAGGATATATCCACCTTGTCTTCTGTCTACTGTATGCAACATTCAACCAACCTGACTAGTAAAATGTTTGCATCATCTCCATGTACCAGATCCAATCATGATGCGTTCTCCACTGTACCTGTCCAGGTACAGGAACATACATGTACCATGCATAGGGCTACACTGTAAATTTCACATGTTTGCAATGTACATGTGTACATTGATAACAAATCAATTGTTCTTTCAATAGCCAACTGTTACATGTAGAGACCTCAAAACTGAGTTCCTTTGCTGTGCCTGCACCTACCAGTATGTTGGGTGCAATTGGCTAATTTTGATCACCTGATCACGCTGTTCCATGGGCCAATCGCA